GAGTCTGGTTTTTGTTGGTTGCTCATTTTATTTTTTAGGTTCCACATATGAGTAAAATCATACGGCATTTGTCTTTCTCGGTCTGACTTATTTCACTTAGCATAATACCCTCTGGGTCCATCCGTGTTGCAGCAAATATCAGAGAGTTTGGACAGAGTGACGTGACAAATTAGGCTTTAGAAAAACACTGGCAGATTTCACTCAGTAGGATGTCTGTAATTGATATAACCTGTCATCTGCACCTGTAGATCTATAGAACTAAAGCTGTATTCATTTCCTAAAAGAACGTAGCATATCTTTTTTTTTCCTCCCCCTTGAGTTCTTTTAAAGGGGGTGTCAAAGCAGAGAAGAATGAGGACTGGGTTTGAGGAAGCGTGAGTGTTACAGATAAACATCTGAGAAGGACCGAGGTCCGTGGAAGGGACAGTGAGGAGAGGGTCTCAGGCCATTTGCGAGCAGACTCACTGAGGCACAGGCATGGCGGGCGCCCCTGATCTGTGCAGCTTGATGGGAGAGTTACAGAAGCTCCCTGGGGTTCGCCCACCTGTTCCATGCTGGAAGCCAGCAAGACTCCCGCATCTGGAGCACAAATCCCTGTGAAAGCCAGGAGGGCTGTGTTGGTCAGCAGGTGCGTGCTGTGGGGAGGAATGAATGAGTGGGGTGGAGTTCCAGAATTCAGTCAGAACCGTTCTGTATCAGAGTTCAGGTTCTTGAAGGTGATAAACGAATCGTGTCCTTGTTCTTAGGAGAGAGTGCTGAAGTATTAAAGGAAGAAATGTCATGATTTGAAACTATCCTGGGGTTTGAAAATTCTCCAAGGGAGAAGGAATTTTTTTTTTAAAGGCGGGGGGGTGGGGGTGGGGGAGAGAGAATAGAATTATTTTAATAAAGTAGCCAAACTCAAGCAGTGGAAACATAGATTCACATTAAAGAACAGAAGTGGAGAAGGTTTTAAGAAAATAGGTGAAAGCAGGGATCGCACTGATTTTTACTGATTTGTCATCTCTGATAAATTAATCCTGGCTGCTGGGCATGTTGAAATGCATGGGATTCTGAGGCCATATCAGTGGTTTATTAGCAGTGTTGGCCAAGGGCTTAGGATTAGGCTAAGTGGTGGTGCATGTGCCAAATATTTGTCATCTCTCCTTGAGTGTTTACATCATTATAGTCTAATAAGTCTTTAACTCTTATCAGTCACTACTTGACCTAACCCGACGTTTATCCTGAAGCTTACACCTTCTCTGGCCTTTACTACCCACCTGGAAGCTGGGCCAAGGCTTCTCAGATCTTTATAAGTCAAGCGCAGAGGCATCCTTCAATCAGGGTCTTTGAGCCCAGATCAGCTTTAGGGGTTGGGAGTGAGGAGATCCATGAACCTCTCCAGAAATTAGCAGAATGGGGGCTTTTCTTGTAGGAGGGGTCGCCTGTCCTCAGATTCTCTAAGTGATTGACAGGCAGGAATGCTTAAGAACCTAGTGACTTGACTAGTATTCTCACAACCTGCTATAATTCTTCTTCACTTTGCTTGAGGAGCAGTGTCTTAGCCTCCTTCCCTGTCCTGCTAGCAATCTCCTCCTCTCTACTAGCCTGATGAGACTACCTGCTTGGGCTCCTCTCTCCAGCCCCTTTAAGATTCTCCTTTGCTCAGGACACCTGGCTGGCTCAGTCCATTAAGCGTCCAACTCTTGGTCTCAGCTCAGGTCATGATCTCAGGGTTGTGAGTTCAAGCCCCACACTGGGCTCCGTGCTGGGCGTGGAGCCTACTTTAAAAGGGGAAAAAAAAAAAGATTCTCCTTTGGTCTTTTTTTTTTTTTAATAGGTATAACCTTTTACTTATCCATTACTTTGTTTAGCCTTTTTTTTTTTTAATTGAATTGTAGTTGGATTCTCCTTTGCTCTTTGAGGATAAATGAAGTTTTCACATAATCAAGAACAGGTATAAAGGAAAAAAACCCTCTTGTGTGTGTCTCCTGTGTTATTCACGCAGAATGCTTCTGTGACAGTGTGTGGGGCTTTCCCTTATATGAAGCAGTTCTCAGCCATACCAGCTGGGTGTTCTAGAATTCAGCTGGATTCTGACCCTGTTTGCCTGGAGTTCGCATCAGATCCCACGGGTTAATGGAGCAGTCCCACAAGGCTGCCCCCTCCTCGCCCCACTTCAAAGCCAACCAAAAGTCCCAGTACTTCTGACCAGCCGGCTATAAATCAGGGTTCCCACAACCCCCTCATAGTGTTCAAGACTTTGTTAGAATGGCTCATAGAACTCAAGGAAACACATTTCCTGGTTTAATATAAGGAATATAGTAAAAGATACTGATGAATGGCCAGCTGAAGATGCATGGGGCAAGGTATGTGGGAAAAGGGGCCTTCTGGCTTGCCACCCTCCCAGCCCCTGCACATGTTCACCAACCCAGAAGTTCTCCAAACCCCACGCTTTGGGGGTTTTTATGGAGAATTCATCACATAGGCATGATCGGTCATTAACTCAGTCTCCAGCTCCTCTCCCCTCCACAGAGGATGGAGGGCATGGGCTGAAAGTTCCAGGCTTCTCCTCATGGCCCAGTGAGAGTCATCTCATTAGAACCAAAGACTTGTGTCACCCAGGAAGTTCCAAAGAATTTAGGAGCTCCGTGTCAGGATCCAAGACCAGATAGCAGAAGAAAAGATGCTCCTAATGCTCATCACTTAGGAAATTGCCAAGGGTTTTAGGAGCTCTGTGCCAGGAACCCGGGTAGACCAATATATCTGTTTTCTCTTATTTCACAGCAGGTAAATTTTCTGTCTTTAAAAAGTGAACGTTAGGACGGGGAGCACCTGGCTGGCTCATTCAGTAGAGCATGTGACTCTTGATCTCGGGATTGTAAGTTCAAACCCCACATTGGGTGTAGAGATCACCTAAAAATAAAATCTTTAAAAAACAAAAAAAGGTAAACTTTAGGGAACCTTGATCATAGTATGTGCTCAATAAATATCATTGAATGGATGGTTGAAATAATTAAATGCTTCTTTTCCCAAACAGCTTTCCCGTTGAAATTAGGTGGTGTTCCCTTAGTGTTCTTTGAACGTGTGAAATTGCATGGATCGGTTGCCCCGGCTACCTGTGCAGCTTTCCCTACTACTCTCCCAGCTTGAGTCTTCAAGAGGAAGCCTCAGAACTGGCTTCTAAAACCCTTTGTACCTGGTGCGGTTATAAAGCAATGAGACTGATTGTCATGTGTCGCTTGTGGGATCCGTCTCAGTTACTTTATAGCCGTGCCTGGTACCCGACACCGCACACCGTTGCCTGCTGAAGAGCAGTCCAACAGCACAGACCTAAGGTTTCTTAAATGGAAAATTTGAATGGTTTAGCATTATTTGATGATTTTTCTTTAACTTACTGACCAGAACTCTTCTTTCAGAAAGATAAATTAGATGTTAACTTTGTTGCTTGCTTTACTTTTGCAATTTTCTTTTTGTGTTTTGGATTTTTTTTTAACCGGTATTCTGATAAGCTGCTATTCTGATAAAGTGGCTGGCACAATTTTGAATAAGGTAACACGGAAGGTCTGTGTTCCACTGGGTTAAATTCTTTGTGAAACTTTTAATTATTGAATTTCTTTTCAGTTGCCTGCGGCCTTTTGACTGCCTGGGATAACAAGGGTAGTTCTTTTAGTTAAATATGATAAACACATAAACCAAATGCTTAGTAGTATTCACTGAGGAAGCCTTTGAAAGGGCAAGTCGTGGGGTGTTTGTTCGTTTGGCTTTGGTGGTTTACATTGATGTGCAGACCTTATTCAGATTTGGATAAATAGTTCTATTTTTCTCTTTCCTGAAATAGAAATGTTTACTCTCCTTCCTCCGACCCCCAGAGTCTTAGTCTTTGCTTTGAAGTGTGCTGGAATAGTGTGTGCCCGGTAGCTCGTCGCCACCAGCCTCAGCTGAGGAGGACGACCGTGGGCAGCCCGGGTGGCGTAGCACAGCTGCCCTTTTTCCTGGAAAGGAGATGGGGACTGACTTCCCTTGTGGAGGAGGAAAGGAGTAATCTCACTCTCTGCAGGAGAGAGAGTAGCTTGCACTGACGGTAGTACTCCTCCTGGAAATTACGTAAGTGACCAAGTGGATGAGTCGAGGAGCATCTTAGCCTCCTGGCAGTTCGCTGCCTTCAGTTAGCTTGTCGCTGTGGCAGGACATCTGGACAGCTGCTAGAAGCTGGAAGGGTTTTGATGCCCAGCTAGTCCACGGTGTTGACACTTGGACGTGTCTCAGGGAGGGTTTGATTTCCAGAAGGATTCTGGGGTAAACAAGAAAGGAACCTTCCTCTCCTCAGGTCTAGACACAAGACCAGAGGGAGTCTCCCCGGTTACTAACGAAGGTTGCGGCCACCATGGCGTTCAGCTTTGGCAGCTCTATTAGCAGACGTGTGTCACTTCGGGGATATTATAAAGCTGCAGATCCTGTACTTCTTTCTGTTCCTTGTACTAGTTCTGCACACAACAGGTGCTCCATAGATATTTCTAAGAAAGAGTAGTGCAAAAAGTACCAATTTTTGTACTATAAATACTAGCGCTTTTTGTACTATAAATACTAGCGCTGTTCTCCTTTTCCTAAGGAGCTGGGACTTTCTAAGGAGCGTTTTAATGGAAAAGGTTTTACAGTAAAGACCTGCGGTGATTTTATCACATTATGTTGTTGTATCCTATGTTTTATACCGTCTGTTGTCACATTTGGCTGATTTAATCATCTGTTCTATAAATATAGTTTTAAGACAAGGTAATGTGGCTCTTAGCACTGCAGTCCTCCTACACTTTGTCCGAGTCTTAAGCACTCCACACAGATTCTTGTTCCTACTTGGTGCCAGCATACCCAACTGCAGATGCGTTCCATTTGAAAAGGTGAATCTGCAGACCCTTGCTATTAGCAGGAATCATAGTCTTTTTTCTAAGTAGCATTTTCATATGTGTGATGTTCCTGTAAGTTTTAAAGGTCACTTGAGCGTCTGTATTTATTTTACATTACAGGCACTGGAGATATTATTGCTGTCATGATTACAGAATTGAGGGGTAAGGATATTTTGAGTTATCTGGAGAAAAACATCTCTGTACAAATGACAATAGCTGTTGGAACGCGAATGCCGCCAAAGAACTTCAGCCGTGGCTCTCTAGTCTTCGTGTCAATATCCTTTATTGTTCTGATGATTATTTCTTCAGCATGGCTCATATTCTACTTCATTCAGAAGATCAGGTACACGAATGCACGCGACAGGAACCAGGTGAGCTCCTGGCACTCTCTAATGATCCATGCTTACCAGCCATAATTCGGAGATGTCTATTGTGGTCATACACAGTACAAAGTTTTTCACTTAAGAAAAAAGTTGTGACCCTCAGTCATGTCCATACGTTGAAAACATATTTACATACGTTATTTTCCGGATTTTTTTTAAATGCCTGAATGGGGAATTTACCTTTACAGTGATCACTCGGAATATCCTAGGTAAATGGTTAGCTTAGTATCATAATATGATCTGGCTAACTCTAGTTGGAGAACTATCACGGAGTTGCATTTTTGAGCTGGAGCCCTGGTTGTCAGTGGCAAGGGAAGCTGGGAGCCTTCACGTACTTTCATTCCCTGTGTGTTATCTATTCAGAAAAATAAGTCAATTAAAAATTACCTAACCCTGTTTAAGCTTGGCCGTGGGGTGACGGTGAGGTGGAGAAGGACCCATAGAGGAGAGGTATCTGGTCGTCCTAGAACTTCCATTGGTGAGCACAAACTGAGCTCAGTGGGTTTCAGCTCAGTGACTAAAGACTCAGGAAGGACAAGACAGCGTGCCACCCTGTAGTGGAAGGCCTGCAGGCGGTGACCTTGTCTGTTTGTTAGCTTGCTCGATGCCCTCTAGACAAAACGTGCACCCAAGGGGCCCGGTTGGAAGTGTGAGGTCCCAGCCCCAGTCAGAGGCTTCTCTGCTAGGAAACCAGCAAGGGAGCTGCTTGGAGAGTGGTTTGAAGCCAGTCTTCATGGAATGCTGTCCAGACTCCCTGTGAGAGAGCTGAAATTTTCAGCCTTCCTCATTCCAGTGAAAGCACAGATGTTGCTATGGAACAGATCCGAGTTCGAATCCCGACCTTATCACCAGTTTGCCGTGGTCTTTCTTAGTTTATTTTACTTCTCAGTTTGTTTCTTCATCTGAAAATAGGTATAAAATATCTGAAAACTGTAATTTATTGCACATTTATGTGCCCTGCTCTATGCAGTATCCTGTATACCTTTAAAGTTTTTTATTATAATAATTTTTATTATTTATAATTTCATACTTAGAAAAGCTGTGAGAAGAGTATAAAGTATTCCCTTCCCCAGATTCTTCAACTGTTAACATTTTACCCTAGTTCCTTTTCTATGCATATATACTTTTTTTAGCCATTTGAGAGTCAATTTGAGATATGATGCCCCTTTACCCTTTAAATACCTCGATGTGTATTTTTAAAAAGCAAGAACATTTCTTACATAATCACAGTACAATTTTCAAGATCAGGAAGTTAGCCTTGGTACAACACCAGATCTACAGATCTAAGATTCTGAGTTCTATAAAACTATCTTACTCATAGGGGCGCTGGCTCAGCCGGCAGAGCATGACACTCTTGTTGTCAGGGTTATGAGTTTAGGCCCCACATTGGGCACGGAGCCTACTTAATTTTTTAAAAAAAGAATGTCTTAATAATGTCCTGTATAGCAAAGCAAACCCTGGATTGATCCAGATTGTACATGGCATTCAGTTGCCATGTCCCTTTTTTTTTATTTTTTTAAGTAAGCTCTGCACCCAATATGGGGCTTGAACTCACAACCCCAAGAAAGAGAGTCACGCGCTCTACCGACCCGAGCCGGCCAGGTGCCCCTGTTATGTCTCTTTCAATCTGTCTCATGGCATTGACATTTTTGAAGAGTCCGAGCCATTTGTTTTGTATTTGAGTTTGTCTGATATGTGATGTTCCTGCATCATCAGATCCAGGTTATGTGCATTTTTTTAGGAACACCAGTCCTTTACATTTGTTAAAGTTTTTATTTTGAGATAACTGTAGATTCACATGCATTTGTAAGAAATAATAGGTCTCAGATAGCCTTCATGCATTTCCCCCTGGGGGTAAAAATCTTATGTAACTATAGTAAATATTTCAACCAGGATCTTGACATGGATACCATCCACTGTCTTACTCCGATTTTTCCAGTTTAACCCATACTCATGTGTGTGTATATGGTTCTCTGCAATGTCAGGTCACCACCACCATAGTCAAGACCCAGAACAGTCCCCCACCAGGATCCCTCATGCTGTTCTTCTTTCATCCCAGCCCCTCCCCCCGCCCAGCCCCTGACCTGTCCCCACCTCTGCAGTTCATCAGTTCAAGAATGCTGTCTGAATGGAATCCTACAGTACTTCACCTTTAGAGTTTGGGTGTCTTCACCTAACATGACTCCCTCGAGAGCTTTCTGAGTTGTTGTGTGTGGGTAGCTTATTCGTTTTTATTGCTGAATAGAATTGTGTCGCTTGGGTGTACCACAGTGTGGTGAACCAAATTGTTTGAAGGTTTAGGCTATTTTAAAGTGGCTGTGAACTTTTTTTTTTTTTTTTAAGATTTTGTTTATTTGACAGAGGGAGACACAGCTAGAGAGGGAACACAAGCAGGGGGAGTGGGAGGGGGAGAAGCAGGCTTCCCGCAGAGCAGGGAGCCCGATGCGGGGCTCGATTCCAGGACCCCGGCATCATGACCTGAGCCGAAGGCAGACACTTAACGACTGAGCCACCCAGGCGCCCCAGCTGTGAACATTTGTTACAGATGTTTGTGTTAACATGAGTTTGCATTTGCCTTGGGTAAATGTTCAAGAGTGAAATATCTGGGTTATTCTGGTAAGCACATACATAATTTTGTAAGAAACTGCCATACCCTTCCCCCAAGTGGCCGCAGTATCACACATTTGCACTAGATACGTATCCCTGACCCAGTTCCTCTGCATCCTGCACGGCATGTGTTGTCACTATTTTGTATTTTAGGTGTGTAGTCACATCTCTTCTGGGGTTTTCATTTGCATTCCTCTCGTGGCTGCTGATGGGGAACATCTTTTCATGTGCTTCTTAGCCATCTGTATATCCTCTTCGGTGAAATGTCCATTCATGGCTTTTGCCCATTTCCTACCTGGGTTGTTTTGGGGTTTTTTTTACCGTTGAGTTTTGAGTGTTGTTACATTCCAGATACAAGCCTTTGTCAGAATTGTGGTCGGCAGATACTTTCTCCCGGTTTGTATCTTGTCTTTTCAACTTCTTAACGGGGCCTTTTGAAGAGCAAACATTTTTAATTTTGATGAGGTTTAATTTATCAATTTTGCTATTGCTGCAAGTCTAAAAACTTTTTTGCCTAGCCCTAGACTCCAAAGACCTTCTCTTTTTTTTCTAGAAGTTTTATAGTTCTACCTAATTTTACATTGAAGTCAATGATCCATTTTGAGTTAATTTTTGTATAAGTAAGAGATTTGGATTAAGGTTCTTTTTTTTTTCTCATTTTATGTCTGATATTGCACCTTTGCCAAAACTCAGTTGGGCATATTTATGTGGATCTGTGTCTGCTTTTCTGTTCTATTCCACTGAACTATGTGTGTATCCCTCTGTCCATCCCATAGTGCCGTGATGACTGTAGCCTCACTCTTGGGTAGAGTGGTTCCTCCCACTTCATTCTTATTTTTCAAGATTATTTTATCTATTCTAGGTCCTAGAGTCTTTCCATATAAATTTTAGAATAAGCTTGTCTGTGTCTCTACCAAAAAAGAACAAAACAAAACAAAAACAAAACACCACACAGAACCTTGCTGGGATTTCTATATGAACACATTAAACCATAGATCAGTTGTGGGGAGAACTGATATATTTACTGTGTTGAATCTTCCAGTCCACGAACCTGTAATGTTTTTCCACTTATTTGGGTCCTTTTTATTCCTTTCGTCAGCATTTTGTAGTTTTTAGCATATAGATTCTGTACATGTTTTAAGTTTATACCTAAGTATATCGTTTTGTTTGGAGTGACTATAAATGGTAGTATAATGGTAAATGGACTGCAAACGTGTTTTTAACTTCTTCAGGTTCCATATTTTCATTGTTAGTAGATCAGAATGTGATCCAGTTGTGTGTGTTGACTTTTTACTCTGCAGTCTTGGTAAACTCACTTCCTGTAGATTGCTTGGGATCTTCTGTACAGACAATAATGTTATCTGCAAATAGGGACTGTTTTACTTCTTCCTTTCCAGGCTCCCTTGCTCTTGTTTTTGCTTTGTTTGTTTCTTTTGCCTTAATTGCAGTGACTAGAATCTTCAGTGCACTGTTGAATGACAGTGGTGAGAGTGGGCATCCTTGCCCGCACCCAGTCCTAGAGGAAAGGAAAGGATTCAGTCTTTCATCGTTAAGTGTGTTTTAGCAGGTTTTGAAGACGTTTATTACCAACTTGACGAAGCTCCTCTGTGTTTCTAGTTTGCTGAGAACCTTAATCACAAATGGGTGTTCCGTTTTGTCACATGTTTTTTTGTGTGTCAGTTGATATGATCATGTGATTTTTTTTTGTTTTCTTTATCCTGTTGATGTGGTGGATTGCATCCATTGATTTTCTAAAGCGGGTAATAAATCCCACCTCATCGTGGTGTGTAATTTTTTGTGCATTGCTGAATTGGGCTGCTTAATTTTGTTGAGGATCTTTGTGTCTAAGTTCATGAGAGATACCAGTCTGTAGGTTTTTTGGGGGAGGGGTTAAATTATGATTTCTTTAATGGTTAAAAGACTGTTCAGTTTGTCTATATGATCTTTACTGAATTTTGGTAATTTGTGGTTTTTGAGGAATTGGCCCATTTTTTAGATGTCAAGTCTACAAACATAAAGTTGTCTTTTAATGGCTGCAGTGTCTGTGGTGATATTCCCTCTTTGTTTGTGATTTGAAGGATTTATGTCTTCTCTTTTTATTTTTGTCAGTCTTGCTAGAAACTTCTCAATATTACTGATACTTTTCAAAGAACCAGCTTTTTTTTTAATTTCATTTTTAAAGATGGGAACTTAGATTTATTTAATTGAAACCTTTCCTCTTTCTAACGTAAGCATTTAGTGTTATAAATTTCTTAGGACTACTTTAACTGTGTCCTATATACTTTGATATCCTGTTTTTTCAATTTTGTTCAGTTTTCTGTAATTTTTTTCTTTTAAGACTTCCTCTTTGATCCGTCTTGTTCACTCCCCAGCAGTTTGGA